CTCTCTCTCTCTCTCTCTCTCTCTCTCTCTCTCTCTCTCCACCTCTCTCTCTCTGTGTCTTCTCTCCCTCTCTGTCCCTGTCTCTATCTTTCTCTCTCCCCATCTCTGTCTCTCTCTTGTGTCTCTGTCTCTCTTTCTCTCCTCTCACTCTTCTTTCTCTGTTGTTCTTGGTCGTTTTCAATATACTGAACCCTTTATGGAGGAAACAGAAATACTTTGAAAGCCTACTTGTATTTAATAGAGGGAAATGAGTCTCTCTTCAACATGTTCTCCAGTATTGCCTAGATGGCAGGTTTCATTAATTTTTTTTTTAATTTCAAGTTGATGATCCATACACTGTGAATTTATGAAACCAGTCATTGATTAAAAAACAAATGTTGAAATCCAAACAAAAATATTAAACAAGGCCCTTAAAAGCAGTGTGGAAGTGGAAAGTGATCATTTTAAGTACCTAAATATGATGTAATTATAGAGAATACACTCTTACATTGTTTTAATCTTCAGAATAACACTGTGCAGTACTGAGGTATGGAAATTGCCTCCAAATAGCAACACAGAGATTCTTCCCAACGCAGAAAATATACAAGGCTCAGGAACGATCCTAAATCGTAGGAAGCTACTGAAATATAACATCCTTAAGGCTCCTCTCCAAGGTTATGTAAACAGTTAACAACTTCAGGTAAGAGACCCCCTGACCTTTCCAGCTGCCCACAAATCATGCAGGGGGTCCAGGGAGGCACCTGGGGTGTGCTTTTCAGTGATACAGCTGCCTATGAGTCATCACGCACCTGTAAATACTTCTGCAAGTAACCCCACTCTTCTGTAAGCAAACCCAAGAAGCCCACTGGTTCAGCGAGTTGGTCTTACTTTCCTTGGTCTGTTGTCAGGGTTCTATTTGGGGATGAGTCAGCACTTATTTGTGTCTCCTCTCAGGAAAAGTCACACAAATAGTATGATGGTCTTACTATCTGCAAATGAGGAAAATGATCTCCTAAGATCAAAATGATCTCCTAAAGCTCATAAGGCAGATGATGTGCAGCAGAGTCCGTGATTTCAACTGTAATTCTATTGAAGCTCATGCCTGACACCACTGAGCCACCTTCCAGCTGTCCTTGAGTCCTTGTCTCCAAATTGTCAGTTTTCATGTTGTCTCCCTGTCTGGATCCAGGAGGGAACCATCTAGATTACATTGTCAAGAACTTAACATTTCAAATAAAAGAACCCAGAGAAAGTAGTTATTCTTCGGTGGAGCCTCTGCAGATCAAGGGAAGAGGAAGTGGACTGTTATGTTGTTTATTAACTGGGGGATTTTCTATAAGGACATTAAATAAATGACAAGTCTCTCAGAGATGGCTCTGGACCCTGAGAAGATCTTTACAGAATGTCAGGAAGAATGATTTACAGTGGCAGACTTTCTGGGAACATCCAGGTTCGTCGGTGAGTGTGTAAAAGGCAGAGTGTTCAGAAACTTTTTAAGTTAGATTTGTGTTTCTTTCTGAAGTCACCGTCTTGCTATGGCACACACAAATACAAAACTCAGTGCTAAATGGGGGAAATTATGGAGGCAACACACAGAAGTCTAAATCAAGTGAATGGATATGGTTGAAAGGGAAAGTGTTGTCACAGACATTTTTTTTTTTACATTGTTAAAAGCAAAATTGGATGCATCCATTGCTTAATGCAAAAAGCAAGGATTTCTCCAACAGCAGAGCAAGGCTATAGAGATGCCTGAGTAGTTGCTCCGTCTGCCTCTGGCTGGCCACAAGGAGCAGACAGCATTGCTCCACCAGGCATGACTCAGGGATTCTTACGTTTTCACCTCTGTCCTGCTCACATTCAGGACACTCATTCCATATTCTTGCTCACCCTTGCACAACCCCTAGAGACAACGTCACTACCAGTGACCCCAAGGAACTCTATAGGAACAGAAAAATACCGATGACATAAAATCATTGTGCTGTGGCTGTACAAGGTGTCCCGTGGCTCTGAGAGGGACAGGCACCATCCAGCAAATGTGCTGTAATAGCTCAGACTCCTCAGAAACCTTAAGGATTTTCTCCTGGAAAGAAGAGTCTAGACTAGGCTGGAGGAATATTAGGATTACAGACAAGGGTGCTTGAAGGCCAAGCCAGCTCCTCATTTACCCTGCTATGGAGGAAGGTGTGGAACAGACAATCCCACAAAGCAGAACTCAGAACGTCTGAGAAGGAGGATGCCTGAGAACTGGCCTGACTAGCCTGAGATGTTTCCTGATAAACACTCTCAGTCTAGGAACCAAATCTAGAAAGTACAGCTCTCAGACGAATCTTCTTTCCATGTGTTGTGGAGAAGAGGCAACATCAAGGAAATGTCTATTTGCAACAGACAGAGACCATTACAGAAAACCACAACTGATCAAAATGTGGAGTTGTGGCTCCCAACTGACAATTCATCTACAGCACAGCTCCTATATTTAAGGCTCAGGGATCATTCCAGAAGAGGGGATGGAAAGATTGTAAGAGCCAGAGGAACTAGAGGTTTGTTGTGAGACTGTGTTCTAGAAATGTCAGAGAAGCTACATCGATGAAGTCTCACCAGTAAGACCTGAGTAAGAACAATACCAACAGACATGCTAATATGAAAGAGAGAAAGCTCAGGAGGTGTCAACAAAGAACAGGCAACTAAGGAGAGCTGAGAGCAGGAGAAACAGCCTTCCTCATGGAGGAGCACGGAATTGGTTATCCAGTACCTAATGATCAGACTGAAAATATACATACAAGTAGCATTATTAAGACCAAGTGAGTTGTATTTATACATTTAATATATATGTAATGTATTTATATATATATATATACATACATACATACATAAATACATACATACCTACATATGTAACAACAAAGAAAAAGAGGCCATGAATTTGAAAGGGAGTATATCAAAGGATTCAGAGGGAGGAAGAGGAAGAAGGGAAATGATACATTATAGTTTCAAAAAATAAAAAAAAAACTATAATGAAAAGGAGAGGCAACATGCTGATGATAACTTATGATGTATTAGTTGAGACACATCCTTCATATGTGCTAAATGTAAAAAAAAAATGAAAGAATTTTTGGAAAGACTATTTTAGAATTGGTAAGCTATAGTAAGTATCTTGCCCCTAAAAGTCCAGTACTCAATTCTGAGATCTCTGTATCCCACTGTTCACTGCAGATGCAAAACCTTACGTCCAGAGGTTGAATGACCCACTCAAGTCACAGAGCTAAGGACTGGCAGCGGAGGAAGAGCTCAGAACAGGCTTCTGATTCCTGAATGCTGCCTCCTAAGGCATGGTCTCTCACCCCAAGGGTTTATCTTTGGCTCTGGAAAATAGAAGCAAATGACGAGGCCAAGCATTTGGCTCCGGATCAGGTTTTACTTGTGACAACACAGAAATCTAATTGCTGCCCCAGTACATGCAGACAGGTTGGGAGCAGCATGGCTAGACTTCTGCCATTGGGGAAGAGAGGGTCTCTAGAATGATCATGCTCTGTAAATTCCAAAGCAGGTAGTGCACCTGCCAGGTGACTGAACAGCTCCGTCACAGTTGGACTGGATGCCTACTGGATCTACACCTAATGGAGTCAGGGGCAGGCATGAGAATGGTGTTCTTTTTCCTGGTCTAGTTTTTCCTCCCACTGCTCGGTGGGAGCACTGAGCTTCCTTTGTACCAGTTGTGCCCTGCTTAGGAGGCAAGGTCTACCGTGCCCAAATCTAACTGCTGGTGACTGACATGTGACATCTTCTGTCCCCAGCACCTAGAGACTCCCTCACACCTGAGAAGAGTGACAGGACAACACTCGGATGGCTCCAGGCAAAATAAGGTTTGGAAAGAATCATCTGGAATGTCTAGTATGGTTGAGGCCTTAGAAACCTCTGGATACTCTGACCCCTGTCCACAGATTGTCACTTTTAAGTTTAACTGTGGAAACTTCGTACTGAGAGAAGTTTCTTTTTGACTTGAGTTTTACAACCCAGAATAGTGGCTGGAATACATGTCAGTGAGAATATTGCAAACATTATCTCTGCGCCTAGGCTGGGCATCCGGCCGTGAACTGCCCTGACTTTCTGAGTGAACCGAAGACTTTGACAATAACCAAAGATGCAGCCAGGCTCCTCCAGCCCCTGGGAGGCCCAGGAGCTCAGCTGATACATCTCAAGATGAAAGTACAGTAAACTATCAGTTTCTACGACCTCTCTCAGAAACAAAGCTCTGGCTGCTGGATAGAGGAGCAGCTGAAAGAGAAGGTGTCGGGCACTGCCTTCCCAGGAGGGAATCGATTCTATCACACCATGTTCTACCTGGTGACCTTTCCTTTCTTAGCTTTTACTGCTTGAGGACAGGAGGAGCAGTCCCAAAGAAGCCTTGCCTTCTGACCCAGTGCTTTCAAACACCCTATTCCTCTGGAGACGTGGTTGTTTTTACAGCCAGATGGAGACTTTAACTCTTGTGATGAAATGTGAGGGCCTGTGCACCCTCACTGCCATCCTCTGACCGCTCAAGGCCGTTGTGTGGATCTGGGGGGCTGGGGGCGGGGAGACACACATGTCACACAGGATAAAATGGTGGTAACTGCACTCGGCTTGAGCAAGATGGCATTCTGGGTGTGGCTCAGCACTCCCTGATACTGGAGCCCTGGTGTAGCTGCTCAAGTTTGTGCTTCCTCCCTGAATGTCTGTAAACTCTTTAGAATCTGAAGGTGATATGGTCTGTGACGGTTAGAGTGAGCTGTCAAGTTGATTGTGTTGAGAAGGTTAAAGAAACACACCTCCGGGTGTGTCTGTGATGGAGTCTCTAAGAGCCTTGGTTCCTTGGCTCAAATCTAATGAGTAGATTCCCCTCCCCCAAATTAGTTTATAACACTATAATAATTCATAAGGAGATTCAGAAAGGCGGGAGGTGGCCTGCTTGGAGGAAGTGGGTCACTGAAGGTGTGTCTTTTGGTGGGAGATGTATCCTACCCTGACTTCTTTCTGTAGTCATTCTTTCCACTTCCTATCTGCTATGAACTGAGCAGCTAGCCTCTGCCAGATGTTCCTGCATATGTCAAGCTCATGTGACCAGGCATCCATGAACCAAGATAAAAACTTCCTTTTAAAAATTATTTCTGTCAAATATTTGGTCATCGCAACAATAAAAGCAACAGATGTACTACCTAATGAGTTCAGGAAGTGGGTTTGGATCCCCCAATATATAACTGTGTGGTGGTTTGAATGAGAATCTCGTGTGTGTGTGAATCATTGGTCCCCAGCTGGTGGAACTGTTTGGGAAGGATTAGGAGGTGTGGCCTTGTTGAGGGGAAGTGTGTCACTGGGGGTGGACTTTGAGTTTTCAAAATCCCAAGTCATTCTCAATTCATTCTCTTTCTTTCTGCCTCAGGCTTGTGGATTAGACATATGCTCTTAGCTACTGCTCTCGTGCCATGCCTACCTGCCTGCTGCCATATTCCCTGCCATCACGGTCATTGATTCATGCTCTAAAACTGTAAGCAAGCCCCAATGAAATATTTCTTTATAAGTCACCTTGGTCATCATGTCTCCTCACAGTAACAGAACAGCAACTAAGACACACTGCCAATGTCCTGTGATCCATGGCATTTCTGGAACTGAGAGGAAACAGCAGGAAGACATCAGTTGTTCTTCCCTCCCCTCAGCTTCAGGAGAAGCTCTAGATGTGTGCCTTGGCCACCTTCCCAGTAGCCACTAAGCAAAGCATGACTAGCAGCCCAAACCTGGCTTCCTGCGTGCTTCCGTTCAGTCTAGTTTGGTAGGTTCTCTGTCAGGAAAACTATTGCTAATTTTGATCATGAACAGAAATCTATAATTTGCTTTTTGTCTCTTGAAGCATTTCTTCATAGTGGGAAAGAACCATACTCTCAGAATGACTAGAAACCAAATAGCCTTCAGATTTTATTAATTATTTTTAAACACATTATATCACGTACTTTGGCGGTTTGGGGCATAGGAGAAACAGAAGTAAATGACCAAAAGGAAAAGTTCCTTCTGGTGGATATATGGATGTATGGACAGAGGGATGATTGATGGCAAAAGAATGCACAGTATACAGTGGAGCTCAAATCGCCCCTCCTCTGCAGTTACCAGGACAGCATCAAGGGATCGAGGCTGACCGTGCACTTAATTTCTGGTTTAATTAATGAGCAGAGCTGCAGTGTTATTTTTTTCTCCCCTCTTCCTCATTCTGTGCACAGTAACAAATAATCAGGATGAGAAATGTAAAAGTTTCCACGTCTTGTTTGAAGATGACATGGTGCAGGATCCAGGAAGGGGAAAGGGGCTTATTATGGAGTCTAGTAGACGCAGAAAGTTAGTGGGGCTCAAAACCAGCATAAATCAACTTCTGCATTTCCTGACCTGTACAAAGATCATTATGTAGACCTGATGCTTTTGTAATCTGATTTTTAGATGATACAATGTTCTTTTCTCTTAATTTCGTCTTGAGACAAATGCTTTAATTTTATGTGCAGCAGTTGGGGGAAAGTAAAGTTCAATGTCTAATTTCTTTGATATATTTACAGTTCTTACCTTCTGCTTTCCAGGAGAGGAAATGGAGGAGCAGAAACAGGATCAAACTCTATAAATAAATTATGGTTGGCCTGCTCTTAAATATCATAAACTGCTGAAAAGAAATGAAGTCATAGCACACATTAATTTCACTGTGAACGTTGGCTAGGAGCTGGTGTTAAAATTAAAGGACTTTGTAAGGATCGAGAGTGAAAGGAGGGAGAAACCTTTAATATTTCAGAAATAATGAAACACGTATCATGTTTTCTGGGCAGGCTACAGAATTCTGTGCTTGCAGCCTCACCAAGGAACTCATCTAAGCACTGGGGTGTTGGCTGACAATCTGTCTGTGCTGTGAATAATGGCTGCATTCTGCCCAAGACTCTAGCCACCGTTTTACCTCCTCCATATATCAAAATATTCCTCGGGGAAGTCACCAGTCAAACGACTGCAGAACAAGAAGACCTTAGAGGCAGACATGTATTTAGCTGGATTTTAAGACCTTTTCCATGTCTCTTCAGGATATTTATGGAATTGGGAGAGTCAGGATATGTTAGCCTATGAAATTTTTTTTGGAACTTAAGCCACTGGAAGAAAAATACCCAGAAAACTTTGAACTTGAGTTTTCAACAGCTCAGCCTCCACGCCAATGTCAACTTCTGCTGGGTTCCCCCTGACAATCCCTCTGCATTAACACTCCTTGTGATACAATCTGTCTCCCTGCAGACAGAATTCTTAGATGTCTCCATGGCCAAAACCTGGAGAAATGGGCCTATTGTGCAAACCATTTTAGGTCAGAATTGGGCCCAAACCCAGAACTTGTTCTATCTGAGGTTGCTTCATTACATTAGATGGCTTTGCATGGAGGACATCACTCCAGAAATAACCCAAATGTCAAACAAATGTGACATCCTGCACCAAGAGTAGAAACTGGGCTTATAGGCTTTGTGAAGCACTCTACACCCGGGTGTATGCATGCTGTACTAGAATGCACAAGAATATAAAGTCTTATTATTGTTAATCCTCCTGACCTACATTGGTAGGCTCATGGGATTCAAGTTTATAAAGTTCTTCCATCTGTGTAACCATTTTTTGGCTAGAAAGACAGTTCCAAGGCCTTTAACTGTGAGAGAAGGAACTGCCTGGTGGAGTGTAGGTACCAGATTATTTGCCAAATCACATGCAAAATGCCAAAGCTTGCTGTCTTCAGACCCACATGCCAATCAATTTGAGAGGAAATTGACCAATGCTGGTAATGCCAAGGCCAAGATTCAGGTGCTGGACATGAAATCACAGGTGGACCTATGCCCAGGCTCCCTCCCTGCCAACTCAACAGATACAACTAATCACTCGGAGAGGAGTCAAGCTGCGCTCCAAACGCTGGCACCGCAGGAGCCACTCAGATTGGAATCAAACGACATTACAGCGACTGGTGGCGGTACAGATGTTCTCTTCCACCCAACCTCCACGAAGCCCCTCTGAGCCACAGTCACAGACAGGCCTTCTCTTGGGACCTTGTCCTGTCTTTGGTCTGCTTGGCCCAGTCTTAAGGAGAATCCTCCCACATCAGGTTAGTGAGACTCCTGCCATGTATAGCCGTTCACGTTCTCCACTCCCCACCTTTGCTGTGCCAGCATTTGGCCAGCTTTGAAGGGAAATCCTATTAAAATGAGTTGGCAGGAATCCTTCCATGTTTGATGTCTCTTCCCTGTGATTTTCTTCCCACTGACTCCCTCTCTCTGCACACTGGTTATAAATCCCTACTCTTTCATAGCGCTATACCTGGGATTGACTCGGTATGCTTGGCTTTATTCTTTGTTGGCTGACTTCACCAGTGTGATTAGATTAAGAAACACCTTGGATAGTAATGAGGCAGACCTTTGGGAGTGTCTATGAAGGTGCATCCAGAGAGAGTTAACTGAGACATGTACTCTCAATGTGGGTGTCTCTATCCCTTGGGTGAGTTCTGGATTGAACGGAAAGGGGAAAAGGGAAGGTCAGTTGAGCACTGGAATCCCTCCACCCTGATCCTGGCCATCTTGAACTCTTTAAACCATTTATTTATTTGCTTCCCTTAACAAGGAGCCAAATTAAGCTTTGAGGCTACACTTGTGGTGATATATTGTGTGCCCCCAATAAAATCTGCCTAAAGATCAGAGAACAGAACAAGCCACTAGATTAAACATAGATGCCAGGCAGTGGTGGCACACATCTTTAACCTTAGCACTTGGGAGGCAGAGATCTGTCTGGATCTCTGTGAGTTTAAAGCCACCCTGGACTACATGAGATTGACTCAGTCTAGGAGAGGCAACAGAGCCAGGCAGTGGTGGCACACACTTTTAATCCCAGCACTTGAGATCTCATGTCTTTGCTTGGGAAGCACACATACCTTTAATGCCAGGACATGATGGCTGGCTGGGTGGAGAAACATATATAAGGTGTGATGAGACAGGAACTGGGACATTTTTTTCAAGCTGAGGAGTCCTAGAGGTGAGACATGGCAGTGGCTTGTTCCTTTGTCTCTCTGATCTTTCAGTATTTACCCCAATATCTAGCTCAGGTTTTTTTTTTTTTAATTAAAGAACCTATTAGAAGTTGTGTTACAACCCTTATGTTATCTACTTATTTTGTAATAAGTTTAGATTTGCGGAAACTTTGTAGCAATAATGCAGACTTGCCATCCACTCTTTACCAGCATCCTCTCTTATTGACATTGTTGACAAGCTTCTTTTTTAACACCATCAGTGCATTGCCATTAAGTGAAATTCCAGATTTTATTTGGATTTCACCTGTTTCTCCATTGCCATCTCCTCTCTGATCTAGGGTTTGATTAGGCACCGCACGGCTCTCAGCTGCCATTCATTATCAGCCTTCCCTGGTTTATGGCCTTCCTTTTTTGTGCCACTTTGGTAGTCTGGAGAAAAATAGCCAGCTCTCTGGTAGAATGTTTCCAGTGTGAGTTCTTCCAGTGCTTTTCTCAGAATGGGACAGAGTTGAGAGGCTTTGAAAAAGAATTCCACAGGACTGAGAACACCCACACTACCTGTGAGGCAGGACCTTCTGGTGGGAGCCTGGGGGAAAGGGCATGGAAGAAGGAAACTGTGCCTTTGGCTGCTTGCCTTCACACTTGCTGGCAAGTCCACGTGTCCTGTTTCTGGAGTATTCCTTCGCTGTCATTAGAACTGGCTTCTCTAGATTTCAAATGTGCACTGGGGACCAGCTGTTCTCCATGAATCCTCCAGGCCTCCAGCACCAGAGTGGAAATGCAGAGACATACAGCCTTGTGGACCAAGCAGTTACTGGACTTGATTTCTCCAGTGGGAGACAGCCATTGTTGGACTATCCAGACTGCGTCCTATTAGCGTTCTAATAAATCCTTTTAACATATGTAGCCATTCTGTCAGCTCTCCTTCCTTAGATGACCTGACTAACACAGCCCTCAAGGGAATGTGGGGCCCTTTCTCTTCTAGGAGCTCCAAACAAAGGAGCATTGGATCTTGAATTGCAACCTTTAGGAACATCATCCAAAATAAGTCTTATCTTTTAATAAGTGGGGTGACTCTGCTATGTTGTTATATCAATGGAAAGCTGACTAATGCATGATTTTTAAAAAGACATTATTCTCTTAAACCAGAGAGAACACGAAAAATAAAGCTACACACCAAAGCTAAAACATTGCTTTTACAACTGCTCATTGTGATGGCTGTCCTTGGTTGTCAACTGGACTACATCTGGAATTAACTAAAACCCAAGCTGTTGGGTACATCTGTGAAGGATTTTTTTTTTAATTAAACTGTTTGAAGTGGGAAAACCTACTTTTAATTTTGATCTTTTGAGGTGGGAAGATCCACCTTTAATCTGGGCCACACTTTCTGGTTGCAGTCTATTTAAAGGACATGGAAGAAGGAAGCTTGCTCTCTTTGCTTGCTCTTGCTAACAAGTTCATTCCTTTACTGACATTAGAGTCTACTTCTTTGGGATTCTCACATGTACGGTAGACTGAAGACCAGCTGAAACAGCCTGCCTCTTTGAACAACTATGGATTTTTTGGTCTTTCCATTGATAGACAGCCATTGTTGGACTAGCTAGACCACAGCCTGTAAGCTACTCTAATAAATCCCAAGTATATATTTTCATATATATGAATATTCATGAACATATATGTGCATATATTCATTATATCAGCTCTGTTCCTCTAGATAATGGTCACTAATATAGCCATGCATTTACCTTTATTGTGAGCTCCATTTCTTCATAGGGTTCATGTTACTGCCTAGGGTCATTTCACATCAGTCTGAAAGAGCTCTTTTCACGGGTCCTTTGGTCATTGAAAGTCTGCCCATAAAGGGCATCCCCAGGCTTGCAACGAAGATCAAGCCTTAGTGAACTTCCTCTCATATGTTTGTGTGGGAATGTTTTTCTTCTGTATATTTGCAGCAGTTTTTTTTTCCCCAGTACAGAATTCAGTATTCTTTTCATCACCTTGTATGTATCACCCTGCCTCCTGACCTCTGGGATTTCTTATAATCATTGTATTAAGGATTGCTTGTATAATGAGTCACTTCTCTCTTGCTGCTTTCAAGATTCTCTTTATGTCTGTCCTGTAACAGTTTGATTAGAAATGTGTCTTGGCACGGGTGTTTTATTTTTATTTTTTTAAGCTCATCCTCTCTAGAGCCTCTTAAATATTTGTACTCACACTTGATACCAAATTTGGGTAGTTTAGGAGCATTTTTTTCTTTGACTAATCTCCCTGCTCATTTCTCCTTCTCTTCTCCTTCTGGGCTTTCCATGACATATATGCTGGTCTAGTAGGTAATTTTCCCCTAATCCCCCCCTTTTTTTCTCCTGCCCCCACCAATCCCTCACACTCTGTTCAAAGTCCTTTGGTAATTTTTTCAGATGAATAATTTTGATTGTTCTACTTTCGAATCACTGGTCATTTCTAGTCAGCCTCAATGCACCTTTGAGTCAGTCTATGGGACTTTTCACCTCAGCTACTACACCTTCCAGCTCCAGAATTTGTGTTTCTTTCTGGCTTTCCATCTCTTTATTGACAGTTATACTGTGTTTTTAATTTCCTTAACTTTCTCCACATTCCCTTGAGGTTTTTTTTTTTTCTTTCTTTCTTTTTTTTTTTTTTTTTTTTTTTTGGTTTTTTGAGACAGGGTTTTTCTGTGCAGCTTTGAGCCTTTCCTGGAACTCACTTGGTAGTCCAGACTGGCCTTGAACTCCACCGCCCGGCTGAGTTCTTTGAATGTCTCTAAGACGACTACTTTGAAGTATTTGTTAAGTAGAGCCTCAACCAGGGTCATTTTCACGGGCAGTTTTCATTGTCTTACTTCATCCCTTTAATGGCCATGGCTTCCCACTTATTTGTAGATGAGTACATTTTCTTTAGGTAAGAATCAGACGTTTGAATCTAGTCATGCAGCGACTCTAGAAAGTATACCTTTTCTTCCTCCAGGTTTGTGCAGTTGTTTTTGACTTCTGAACTGGGCAGGCCTTTTCTGTGCTGGCTGTTAGCCTGAACAAGTAGATTTCTTTGTTCTGTGCC